ACCAATACAGTGAACGTTCACAAATAAGGAAAAGAAAAATGAAATCAAGGAAGTGGAAATACTTTGTGACCTGAAAAGATACTACTGGATACGTTACAATAATGGGGCATCAACAGTGTCTCCTGGAAATAAACATTAAAGGAGAACTATGAGGTAAGTGTTTTTCCCCATAGTTCTCCTAAGGGCCATGGGAGGACATATACTAGCGTGCTCCCGTGACCCAAAGCTCAGTATATCGCAAGCTATTGCTTGCGATATACTGAGAGTGCCGCAGTCGGGACGGATCCCGACAATACTGTCGAGATCCACCCAGCTGCGTGAGTGACAGCGGACTCCACCTATCTAGAGGCAGAGCCAACTGTACCCACCCCCTCCTCCGCTCATTCCTCTACTCAGCGCTGGAGGATCGGAGAGGGGAGGGGGGAATCCCAGCGGGGAGCCGTGGCTTACAGTCTATACTGAGTCTATACTGAGACCGCTGCAGCCGGGACGGATCCCGACAATGCTGTCGAGATCCACCCAGCTGCGTGATTGACAGCTGGCTCTGCCTATCTAGTGGCAGAGCCAGCTGTGCCCGCCCCTTCCCCATCTGTTCCGCCAGTCAGCGGAGGGGGGAATCCCTGCTGGGAGCCGTGAGTGACAGTCACTGCTCTCTGCAGGGAGATGATCGAGAAGTGACTGAGCTACGGTATGTGTTCTCTCACTTCCCGATCTACTGAGCCGACCTGTGACAGTCTCATTGTCAAAGGTCGGCTCGAACTATGAGGTGAGTGAAAATCTATCATCTCATAGTTCTCCTTTAAGGTGTGATTTATAAAGCATCTGCCAAGCCATATGCTGAGTGAATGCCCTTCACACAACATCTGCCACTAGAGCTAAAGAGTTTAGGTATTTCCTACCTCGGAGTTGCCCGCAGGGCCAGATTTCCCACAAGGCCAACCAAGGCCCGGCCTCAGGGCAGCAGGGAGTAGAGGGGCAGCAGGGGTGTGGAATTCCTATCTCCCGATGCCCGGGACATGCATTTCCGGCAGTCGCGTGGGTAGTTGTTTTCTACATTTAGCCCTGCTTTGGACAAGCATAGTTAAATGTACTGCGGGGATACCGCTGCATGTTTTGTATGCAGCCGGCAGGTCTCCATGGGGGGGAGGGGAGTAGGCTTTTTGGTGGGTAGAGGGGTGCATTGAGGATCCTGTCCTTGGGGCAGCAGAGAGAGTAAATCCGGCCCTGGTTGCCCGCCCCTGCTTGAAGGGAAGAGCGACTGCTATAGTGAAGCCCACTATTTACTCTGACTGTAGTCTCTGCGTTCGGACCTTACACCAATGCCCCCGTACTCGTACTTTCCCTTTATGAAGAGGAAAAAAAAACCTCAAATGAAGCCATCTTATCGAAAATCAAAAGTCGGAATGGCTAATGGAAAGGAAATTTCCATCCACGCCACCAGAATAAAACGTACGTGCGGCTCAGGCTAAACGCATCTAAGTGTGAGGCGAAAGCTCTCTCCCTACAACTAAGAGTTGCATCATGGGAGGCCTTGTACTGTAAAGCACCTAAAAAACTCTTAATGCTGCATAATTGATATCATACTCCTTCAACGTCCATTAACATGTAAGCTGCACTGGAAGCGGCGCTGGGTTCAATATTGCCAGCCAACGTACTTCTGCCAAATGAAAATAAATCCCTTTGGTTTGTTTCCATCTTGTTAGAGAAAAGTGCAGCTTTTAGGGAAAGGCCACAACACCGACTTGTAAGGTTTCGTTATATATTAAAGTGGTCATTATAATAAAGAATGTTCCGGCGCCTGAAAGTTTCAGCAAAACGGCATGAATTATTTCTTTATTCCATTACGGATACTGTAACCTTCAAATCTGTGTTGGTTTAATGTAGATCTAAAGAGAAAATTGTAGAGTAGTAGACTGTGTATAAATCAGACCTAGGAGGTGTATTTTTTAAAATGTTCGCAGAGCCGTTTGCTCCGCGAACGTCTGACTATTATTTTGGCACCACATACTAGATGGAACAGAGGAGCAGGGCTGCAAACGACTAATCGATAATGATAATAGAGGCCAACTATTCACATTATCGATTAGTTGGTTGGATCTCCTAGCTCTCTCCTCCATTCAGGGAGGAGGGCCAAGCAAGCAGTAGGCAGGTGTAATAGACAGCCTGCTATTGGCTATTGCAATTTGAAATGGCCAATAGCAGGCTGGCTATTGCATCAGCCCGCTAACTGCTGTATTTACATTTACATTCAATGTAAATCTTGCCACTGGCAGCCGTCATTCCCTTGCCGGAGCTATTCAAGCGCCATGTGCTTACACTACAATTATTAAAACAAGAATTATTAAAAGGTGGAAAAAAGGAATTTTCGGTGTCGGCCTGACAAATTCTGCTGCGGGAGGTGCGCTGCAGTGCCATTCGTTTCAATAGAAACCCAAAGGCCCATCCCACCCACACTGTGATCGCCCGGTACCGCAATGCCGTGCGTTCCGGTGCAGGCGATCGCACTGTGGGAACACACTAGATTTGGTGTGATCAAACCCTAGATGTTGTGGGAAGATGAATTGTTTTAAATCACAAATGCTGAAGTGACCTATGCAAAGCAGGAATACTGTCATTAAAAAAACAATCACTTTCAATATTCAATGTTCATTCAAGTTGTTGCTCAACGTGAAAAAACTTCTGAGAATTATCTCTCTCTGAGTCACAGCTCTGCACTGCCCGCCCACACAGCTGGAGGAGGAGACATCAGCTGACGCCGGCCCTGTAGGATCTGGACCCCGCGGTTGCCCTGTCTGTGCCTGAACCAGTGCCGTGGACTGGTGTCACACTCCCCGCGGGTGTCATCCAGGTGAGGTCCGCACCCCCCCAGACACCGCTGTTAGGTCCCGCCGCCTCGGCGGCTAACACATCACCCTGCGGTATTCGCTCCATAAGACGCACTATCATTTTCCCCCGCCTTACTTTAAACCTTCACCGTATTGAATGCTGTAGCTTTTCTTCAGTAAGGAAACACAATTTGCACTTAAAGTGACACTAAACTCAGGAGTTAAATCTTACAAATAAATTCAAGTCCCTTACCTCTGAGCAACAATGTATCTTATTTGTGTATCACTGGGCTGTAGATCCTCCAATCATCTCTGAATTGGTGCTGACACTGTCCTTCCTTCTGGAGGGGGGCTACGTCTGTTCCCCATGGTCCCTGTGTGTGTTTTAAAGTAGTCACCGCTCCAAGCTGCATGTCCCGGGCATCGAGAGATCGTAGTTGTTTTCTACATTTAGCCCTGAGCTAAATGTACAGCGGGGAAGCCGCCGCTCGTTTTGTACAAGTGATCTTGGCGATGTCGCCGAGATCACTTGTATGCAGCCTGCATACAGCGGGGGCGTATTGAGGAACCCGGCCTTGGGGCAGCAGAGAGAGTAAATCAGGCCCTGCCTGCATATAGAGACTAACATTGCACTACAGCGCCATCTCCAGCTCTAAAAGACATATTACATCTCAGTCAAGCAATACAGATGACAAACGCACTCATCAATTCGTCACCAGCTTTACAGCAAGGTGCACATGGAAGGGCTTTATACCGTACAACAGCAAAACGTTTTCCTGGCGCACTCACAAGCCAGCATGTAAAAAAACTTGTCTCACACAAAGGTTAAAAACAGAAAGCCGCACAGCCGCGCCAAGGCACCTCTTATAGTGCGGTCCTAACTCTAAACTATCAGAGCCTCCATATTGGACAAACCTGCACCCAATTTTATCTTCTGCCCCATGTGCTCCAAGATGGAGGCTCTGATAGTTTAGAGTTAGGACCTCACTATAAGAGGTGCCTTGGCGCGGCAGTGCAGCTTTCACATTTTCTGCAGAAGACGTGTATCTAAAACCACTGTTTTAACCTTAGTGGTGAGACAAGTTTTTTTACATGCTACCGTGTTTCTCCGAAAATAAGACACTGTCTTATATTTTTTTACCCCAAAAAAACACACCATAGGTCTTATTTTCAGGGGATGTCTTATTTTTTTATTTTTTGGTATGGTAAGAATGAGAATAATACTGTTGCTCTTTCTTTCTTTTCCTACTGGTCAGTATCGGTAAAGCTGATCCCTTTCTTTCACTTTCACAGGCGGAGTGCATCTGGTATCACTCCGCCTGTGACAGGAGCTGGCGCTATAGAGGAAGTATCGGCTAATGCGTCTCTGCTCCCTCCACCGCCGCAGCCTTGCTTTCTACAGCGCCGGCTTCCTTTGCCATCAGGGACAGCGGTACCAGCGGTGCAGCAGTGGGGACATCAGACAGTGGACAGCGCGGTAAAGTACGGTACCATTTACCGCTACACATTACAGTACAGTACCATTACATTAAGCAGTGCCTTCAGGGGGACAGCAGTTGGTGAATTATGGTACTGGAGTGCTCCCTGTCACTGCACTGGCTGGAGGGAGTCCCCTGTCATCCCCTTAATACAGTATGTCCCTGCAGGCCGATACCATCTCTCCTGCTCTTCAAGTTCCCCTTCACATGCTACCACCAAACTAGGTCTTACTTTCGGGGTAGGTCTTATATTACAGGAATCTTGAAAAATAGTGCTAGGTCTTATTTTCATTTTTTTTTTTTTTTGCCGTTTTCACAAAATGCATTCGGGTCAACGGGGAAGGTGAAATATACAGCAATGTAGTACAAAGGGACATGCTTATAGGAGGAAAGAGCAGAGAGATGAGCTAGTCAGTCTGCTGCCTATCCCTTAACTGCCCAGCCACAGGCTTGGGGGAGGGGCAAGACCTGTAAGTGTTAATGAGTTGCAGCAGAGAAATACCAGGTCCTCTCCCCAGCTAGACAGACTGTGCTATGTGCCAGAGCTGTACAGACCTCAGGACCGGAAGGAAATACATACAAATGCTTTCATAGTTATAAGAGCTCCCTATGAATGCATTGCATCTGCTTATTCAGCTTTTTAACATAACTTGGAAACAATGAATAAAAAAAAAAAAAAAATCACTATAAAGCATACCCAGATGGTGTTATCGTGATGGTACGGTTTCCAGTTGCGTCCCGTGTCGCTGAACATCACGTTGAACCGCGTTACCCAGTCGGTGCTTCCATATCTCCCTTGTGTTGCTGCCCCCGTGATATCAGATCTCTCTCCCAGATCAATTTGTAGCCACTGCTTTCCATTAGATTCCATCGGGGTCCAGCCACCGGCTCCTGCAACACACAGCGCAAAGACGATCAACATAGCCTATCGGAAATGTAATGGATGTATCACTCTACACTGCAATTACCCTGAGAAGGAACAATGATAAAATCGCCATTATAATACATAGCCAGGGCCGGATTTACTCTCTGCTGCCCCAAGGCCAGGTTCCTTAATGCACCCCCCTACCTGCCATATCCCCCCCACCCCACACACCATGGAGAATGGCAGACCAGCAGGCTGCATACCAGTGATCTCGGCAACATCACCGGGATCACTTGTACAAAACAAGCGGCGGCTTCCCCGCTGTACATTTATCTCTGCTTGCCCAAAGCCGGGCTAAATGTAGAAAACAACTACCCGCCCGGAACTGCATGTCCCTGGCATCGGGCGATAATAATTCCACCCCCCTGCTGCCCCTCCACTCCCTGCTGCTCCAAGGCCAGGCTTTGGTTGGCCTTGTGGGAAATCCGGCCCTGTACATAGAGACCTGGTGCTTTAGCCTCATGAATTACTCCAGCACTAGGGCTTTGAGTTTGCACCGTTCAAAGTTTCATTGAATGGGGGAACTAAATGAGCAGACGAGCCGGAAATAATATTACTAAATGAATTACTTCTGGCCCACCGACCGGGGGATCCCAGGTGATATCAGTGAGCAAACATGGTCAGGGAAATCAGCCAAGTTCCCCGGTGGTCGTCATGCATGGGTTGTTGTGTTTTTTGGTGTTATTCTTGACCGGCGATGGATCGTCATCGCTGGACAATGTGTTTAACAATCGATCCACTCTGTGGGACATTTTCATTTGCTATAATTTTATTTTATTTTTTGTAAATGACCAATGAGGGGTGCTATGTACCCCTAACCTATTCACATAGAGG